TCATCTTTCATAAATGGAATTTAAAATTTAGAGGTTTTGTTAAGTTAAATCTTGAAAGAAAGCAGAACGTTTTAATTTAGAAATATGAAATGTTGACTAGAAGCTGATCCTGTATAGTTTAGTTTTCCAGCCAATATTTGTATAAACAGCTGAGTAACTGAAAACTTGAAATGAAAAAAACTTGAAAAATGAAAAAAAAAAATGTTTTTCCTATTCCACTTTGATATTACCAACTATTTACCTATTAAGACGTAGTAGTCATGGTTTAAATTTGAACTTCCCCAAATTAAATAGTATTTTCCAATGGTACTTCAGTTGGATTTTGACTTTAAAACCTAAATTAAAAAGATGAAATGTTAAAATCACAAGTCCATCTAGCTAAAGCTAGTTTAACTCCATTTGCTTCAGTGAAAAAAATATAACCTCTTTAGTTTGTTTCTTTTTTGTGTAACATTAATATCTACAAATTTAAATTCATCTTATAAAGCAAAAAAAGTTAGCATTTATTTTATTCCTTCAAAAAAGCTAGCGCCTTTTTTATTAGCATGCTACATTTATGTAGCATATTTAGTCTCCTACAGCAATTTGGTTAAAATGGCTAAAACGTTATCCCAGTAAAATAGACTATCTAGGTATGTTTACTGTAAGTGTTTGGTTATTTCTTAAACTTATAATGACGGTAATAAAAGTTAGTTTTCCATTTAACTGCTTTTAGGCCTTTTATTTGTTTGAACTTGCCTGAAGTTTAGCTAAGCTAACCAACCATAGTTAGCATTTCAGTGCCCTCTGTGTGACTGAAATTAAAGCAGGTCCAGTGATAAATTATTAAGCTCTCTTACTATTTAAAAATAAAAACCCTGTTCATCTTTTTTTTATATATAAAATACCCCACCAGAACGGCCTCACACACACGTACATGCTCACCAACATCACTGTAAGAAAAACAAAGCTATTCTCCATGCAACACAAGTGTTCACAACACAAGTGGGACCACTTTTTTAAGAAACTACCAAACAAATGTATTAGATTTGGAGAGGGGAACACATGATGAAACACATTTTCATCAAACCAACAAAGGAAGAAAAAGAAAAAACATTTTTTTCACATTATCTAGTCAGTGTTAAAAATAGAAATTCACCCGTTACATTAACTCTGCACTTTTTGATTATATACAGATATGTACATGGATTTCTTTTAATTATTTGTCCTTAATGTCTTTATCAACAGTTTATAAAAAAAAAAAAGAAAATTGCAATCAAATGCATAAACTCTTCTAGAAAGATGTGCTTAGTAACTTTTTCTTTTCTTTTTTTTGTTTTTAGTCGAAGCAAGGTGGGGGGGGGGGGACAATTAGAAAAATGGGAACATTGGGTTCTGCTCTTGTAAAAAGAACAAAATCCATCCAAAGAAAGAGCTGAACTCATTTAGAATTTATTTTAAATACCTATTTTATGTGTAAAGTTATTCATTTTCATTTACATATTCACTAATTTTTGCAGATTTTTTTTTATAAATTCCAGAATCGGATCCAGTGATTGTGTTGGATCTTCTTTAGCAATCTGCCCTCTACGTAAACTTAACTCACAGAAATCGCCAATTCCATTTTAATCACCTAAAATATGCTCTTAATTTTGGAAATTTTAATATCCCAAAAATCATACATGGTTCATAACCAGAACAAAGGTTATGTGTTTCGCCTGTGGAGCTGGTTGACAGTTGCCTTTTGTATCTATGCTTCTTTTTCTATGTCTGCTTCTGTCTCCTTGAACCCCAGTGGGCCTCAGCAGATGGCCGCTCACACTGAGCCTGGTTCTGCTGGAGGTTTCTTCCTGTTCAAAGGGAGTTTTTCCTCTCCACTGTCGCTACAAGCATGCTTAGTGTGAGGGATTGCTGAAGAGTCAATGAGTCGATGCAATCAGCTGGTTTTCCTTAGATAGAAAACTTTGAATCAATCTGACTGGATGATCTGGTGAACTGGAAAGTGCCTTGAGATGACCTGGGTTGTAAATTGGAGCTATAGAAATAAACTGAATAGAATTGAAATTTTTTTTGCACAGAAACAGACCAGAACTGTCCACAAATCCTTGTAAAAGCATAAAATCTGTTGGCTTTGCTCAACAGTACAGGCTTCGGTCTGGACGTTTCCAAATTTTCTAGGTTATTGTGAGTTCAAACTACCAGCTAGGTTCTACTAACTGAGTTGAGCAGAACAGCGAAAGGAGCCATGTCTGCGTTTTGTTGCATAATCAAGTTCAGCTCTGATCAGGGGTTGGAAACATGGAACCTGTGGGTCAGAGAGCAGGACCAAGAGACGGGATCAATTCTGCTCCAGAACCTCAAGATTTCTGTACAAATGCTGAACAGACATAAGGATCAGCACTGAAACCACATTAAATACAGACTCTGTATTTTGTGGAGCATATTGTACATTTACAGAGAGGATTGACCCGACCTGTGGCAGGAATGCTGTAGAGTAGATCCCTTCTAGTTTCCCCCAGTAGTCTGACCCTAAAGGCTTGATGGACCCTGACCGCCCGGCACAGTGCCTGTAGTATGATTCAGAACCTCTGATAGACGACCCAAAGCAAACAGCTGTCCAACACCGCTGGATGGGTCGGAAAAATCTCTATGGACTGCAGACTTGAAAGATTTCTGGAGCTGCTAATTCACAGATTATTCTTTTTAATGGAGATCCTAAAATCTTCAATGGTCTGGCTTTATGAAAACTACCACACGGTCTGATTTTAAACTGTTTGGACGGCAGACGTCATCTCTCAGCGGTTCTGGTTTTGCCCTTACACATTGACTTCAGTTATTAAGGCTCAACAGGCAAGAGGTAAAAGAACAATGACAAGTGCCTTCAACAAAGACCTGTAAAAATGTTCTTTTCTGGATTCTTTGATTTTAATCTCAAAGCTCACCCACAGACACACAAACGCAGGCATGTGACACAATCTCTCCCTGCTCTTACATTTCCCTTCTTAACACTCCGTCTCTCTCAGACAATCAAAAACAAAAAGGGTCTGATTTCTTTGTTTAGCTGTTGTTAAAGTTCAGAGCAGCAAACCTGGAGGAAAGAGAAAACAAACTGTGCACTGATGGACCGGCTTCTTTTTGTTTTTCTTTTGTAAAACATCCAAATGAAGACATAAAAAAGCAAATACTGCTGCAAAAAAAGGAGCGGAAAGGTGTGAGCAAGCCCAAGAGAGAGAGGCGGGGGAGGGCAGTCCGACATAAACAACATGAAATCAAATCAGTCTCTAAAAAGTTCACAGTCTTGCAGCTCCGAGTACCGAGGAGGGAAGGTGGTGATGGGGAGAGGAGCGTGAAAGAGTCGTCACTTCAGCTGCTGCAGACAAACAGTCGCCTAAATACTTTATCCACAAATATGGGAGGTCGTGTTTCTAAAGCACGCATGAAACCCCAGGAGGTCTGAGTCAAAATTACTTTTTTCAAACCAAACATGGATTCCCCTAAACAGTAAGAATGCTGAGTACATGTTTACTATGATACGAAATAAATGATGAGAGAATCAAGATCCCAAAAAATGGGGATCAAATAAAGGATTGTATTAAACCAACCTGCCCTTAGTTAACATGTCAGCAGCATCGCAGGCCGCCGTTCTATTGGTTCAGCGTGCTTCATCAGACCAGCTAACCTATAGACCAGGGGTCTTCAACGTTTTCCAGGCCAAGGACCTCCACACTGATGGCGAGATGGAGCAGGGACCCCCAAATTATATATATATTATATAAATATTGTATGAAATTGTGAAACGGTGCTCAGCTTGAAAGAGCTCCTGTGTGTTGCTGAATGTGAGCATTGATGACTGAAAGACATCTTCTGCCTCCATTTATCTGTTTACATCTTTTTTTTTTTATTTGAGTTAATGCGTATTTAAAAACATTTCAATTAGTGGAAAAAAATGCAGGGGGGGAATATAAAAAAAAGTCTAATTGTTCAAAACTTTCGTGACCCCCGTGCAGTACCTCCGTGGACCCCCTAGGGGTCGCGTACCCCCTGTTGAAGACCCCTGCTATAGACAATACGCACGCACAAGACGTCAGATCTGCCTTTGAAATAGACTTTAAACTGCCTCAAGGGCCTCTGTCCCTTCAGTCATGTACAAAAAGAAAACAATATGAGGTCAGATCGCTTTATGCTTCGAAAAAACACCAAAAAGAAATGAACCGACTCAGGTTTCAGCTTTCAAAAACCTACAATGCAGCAATTGAGTTCTGGAAAAGTTAAAAACAATCCACTGCACTTTGTTTCCAAGGTTTGAAGATCTTTCGCTTCCCATCCAGGAAGCTTTCTTAATTTAAAATTTGAATTTGATTGTCCAGTGGATTGTTTTTAATTTTCTTTTTTTTTGGAATATGTAATTCCATTGTTTGTTTTTTTTGTACATGATCAGGGATACACGCCTGTTAAGGTAGAACTAAAGGGATAAAGGGGTATGGACTATAGGTATGCTGGTCTGACCGGGTCTCTGACAGAACACTGACTGTCAGATACCCATCTTACAGGTCTGACTGACCCACAACATGATGCACGAACTGGGAGTGGAAGGATATGCTTTTCATTAAGCCCAGATTTCTACATTAGAAGCCATTTTATTTATCTAATATAATTAATTTCCTTTGAAGCTGATTTTATATTTTATTATTTGTTACCCAAATCATCAAAATCAACAAAAATAAAAGCTCTAAATCTATCAGTCTGATTAATAAGATGCACCAGTAGTGTGTATTTATGGCCAGAGCACTGATATCTCCTAATTTCTTGCGTTTTGGCTGCTTATTTGTGTTGAGCAGGAGGGATTGAACCTAAATACTGCGTTTACTCTAACACTAGATCAGTGATTAATGAACTGGGGCTGATCACATGGTTGACATGAGGCATAAATGCAATGTTAACATTGCTAAAAAGATTTATTGACACTCAAACTCTAGACTTAAACATAATTCAATAATATTGAATTATTATGTAAAAAAAAAAAGGAGAAAAAAAGAGCAACTGAAGTGACATCTGGGTCATAAGATTTTTTTAAAAACACTGAACAAAATTCCTCCATGTTGCCCCCACCCATCCTGCTCCTCTTGGATGGACTGATGGATGATTGGATGGATGCGTGGACGTCCCTGCTGCCGAGTGTGTTTCAGTCTCTCCTTCCTTTTCTGTTTTTATTCAGAAACTGAGTTCAGGATTGTAGAGCGTGGACTGAAATGAGGTGCAGAATGTAGATAAGAATACGTCCACCATGCATAAACACAAACGCAGACAAAGACTCCCAGTTTTCCTGGTGATTTCCATGTAGAGAGAAGGAGAAAGTTCCCATTCCTCTCTCCAGATTTAATTTAAAATTCCTCTGATGCACAAAGTGGAACATCGCAGGGGCTGCGAACTCTGACAATCCAAGGGGCGGGGTCACGGGTTGGTTTGGAGGAACCTTCACATCATCACGTGGCGACGGCGGTGCAGAGACAGGTGATCTGACCGGGAGAAGGAACGATCGCACTCCGTGCAGCGGAAAGGTTTGATTCCTGTGTGCTTGCGGAAATGTCGGGTGAGCTCGTCGGAGCGAGCGAAGCGCCAGGTGCAGCCCTCCCAGGTACAGTGGTACGGCTTCTCTCCTGGAATGTCACACAAAAAAATTATTCCTTCGGTAACCAGGTGAATTTATAAATCCTAAATCAGCAATTTCATCTTTGCTTGTTGTTTCTATACCACTTGTATCTTTTGTTTTTGAGCAGATGTAGATGACATTAAGGTTCTGCTGCTTTATAGTCGATGCAAAAAACCTCACTGAATGCTAAGAGGCTGGCTGCTATGAGATCTGCAGTTTTCTAGGAAACACTTTGGGAAAGGTAGCCCGCAGAAAAATGAGAACGCTTGAAATCAAACAAAGAAAAAAGGGTGATGTACCAAAAAAAAAGGCCTTGCATTTCAATGTTCACCAATTGAACGTCGATTTAACCAAAATGCCATTATAGCCAGAGAGACGATGATCTGCTTTTAGACTGTTTTGCACGTAATGGCCTTAATGTATGACGAAACCAGAGGTTTTAAAAGTTCACAGCTCACCATGCATGCTCTGATGCGATCTACTTGCTCACACTTTATGTCTAAAAACTAGTGTTACACCAATTGCATTTTTTGGCCCCGAAGGGGCGAAAATACTGGTTAGCTGATTGGCCTATGTTGGTGATAGACTGGCCAAATAAACCAATCAGATCAACGAAGCATATGACGTACTAACAGAGGGACGACGAAGAGGAGCCAATTGATAGATCAAACTCTTGCTGAAACCAGTCGGGAGAAGAGCAAAAACATCTTTTCCTCTGAGAAAAGCCTCCAGAGCAGTGTTTTGCTCTTCTTTCAGTGAAGAAATACTCTGTAATTCCGATAAAACTTGCTCGATAGCCACGCTAACGCTAGTTTCATCGGCTGAAGCCGCCATGTTCTTTAGACTGAACTGTCACGCTTCTCGTTGCGTCACACCTCAACCCGCCTCAAAGCCAACGCTGATTGGACGTTCGTTTGGTGAACGGCTCCAAATTTTCTTTAACGGAGAGTCTCCAGACTGATCTGCGAGTGAAACCTTGAAAGCTTGCGAGATCAGGATGGTCTCACGAGGCTAGATACCCGGTACCTGGCTGTGCAGTATCGGCCGATACCATCTGTTTGAAATTGATGTGTGTGTATGAAGAACTGCATCCTACTTGGATGTAAAATAATTGCCATCATGGGTTCATGTCTAGCTGCTGCCTTCCTTTGTGAAGCAGGAAAAAGACTAAAACAAAGTGAATCCAGTAGAACTTTTTATTGCCTACCTGGAATGGGTGACAATAGTTGAAGAAACTTTTGGCTCTCAAAATGATATCGGTGCCCTATCGGTTGGTACTCGCCGATACCGATGCCACCATTTTAGAGCTGGATCGGGGCCCCGCCCGATACTGGTATTGGTATTGATGCGACACTACTAAAAACCTCACATCGGACTCACCTCCCAGAGATGGTGCTGGTCGGACCCGTCAATCTGGAAGGAGAAGAAGAAGAACTGCCTTGTTTGAGCAGTGGTCGAGGTTCTGGTAAACCAGCTCAACAGCAGGAGTCACCAAGAAATACCTTACGACGGCCGACAGACTTTCAAACATATTTGATTTTCTCCCGACCTTAAGATTGCTGATCGGGAGGTTGAGGTTACCCCCTGCACACTACACGACGCACGATCAGCTCAAAGCTTGGCCCAATCAAAGAAATATTGGACGACTGGAATATTGGCCCGAAAAGCGCAAAAAATTGACCAGTGTGTGCCCAGCTCAATCAGCCTCTCATGACCACCTCCTGATCACGAATCGTAAGGTCAGGAGAAAATCAAGCATGTTTGAAATTCAGTCGGCCATCGTGAGGTGGTTGTGGGTAAATCCTGTCGTTGAAGCAGAGCTACGAGACGATTTACCAGAAACTCGAGCACTGCGCACGTGCAAACAAGGGAGTTCTACTTCTTCTTCCAGAGTGACGAGTCCAAGTAGCGCCATCTCTTGATCGTATCAGAGCGTTGTGCCGCACAGTCTGAGAACAAACATCGTGAGCTGTGAACTTTTAAACCCTGTGGCTTGCAGTGTGAGCTGTAGCTGCGTTCAACGATTGAAAAAAATGCTACATTGTATGCCGGGCTTCAGCAGTTTACTCCCAAATAAAGGGTTTTTACAAACACTAGTGGAAGAGCACTGAACTGATCACCATTATAGAAACAAGCAAAAATAAAAACATAACAAAAAAATAGTGATGACGTCAATGTTTTTGTATTGACGCCTTTAAGAGCCAACCGTTTGTATAGCTTGATCTCTATTTTTCGCTCTGATGAATGGCTGCTTTATATTCTCTGAAAGGATGGGTGTTGGCGGTGATGTGTGGGTTGCTCCGCTCCTACCTGTGTGTATCCTCCTGTGGGCTTTGAGGTGGGAGCTCTTGGTGTAAACTTTTTTACAGCCTTCATAATCACACATGTGGATCCGCCGCCTCTTTAGGTCTAGTGTGTCGGGATCAACGGGCTCTAAGTCCATAACTGACCTGGGACAGAGAAGATAAGAGAGGGAGTCAGTGATGCTGGTCACTGGAAATTATTTTAAAATAAACTTGATATATTATTTGTTTCATGTTAGATTCTGTAATCCTTTTAGAACATTTATGTTCAATACTTTAATTCACCAGTAGATATTAACCAAGGAGAGCAGACCAGGAACGGAAAAATCTCATTGTTTATCCATAATCTCTCATGCTGGCCTGCTTCTTCAGCGATTACCGCTTTAGTTTAAGCTTCTGTAGTTCGCCTTTGATCATTCAGTTTGCATTTTCCCTCTCAAATGTAGATTTCTTTTAAACGAAGGTAAAGTCTTGAAAAGTTTGTTGTTGTCGCTTTTCTAAAATGCAAACAGGCACCAGCCCTATGCAGGGGGAGGAAGAAGTGGAGGCTCTGATCATCCAGTTTCCACTCTGCCCACCAGGTGGCGACAAACAACCATCCTATTTCTAACAGCTTCTCGGCTTCCTATTTTACAGTTAATTTTTCTGTTATTTTATCATATAAAATGTTTTTATTATCTTCTTGCTAACTTATAATAACAACATGGGATTTATCCTGCGGAAACTAAACCCTCTCCTAAATTTAACTCTGTAAAGTGTCTCATTTCTAAAGCTCACGTTAAGTTAAAATGTTTTTTTGTTTAGTTAATGAATGTGCTAAGGGTTTAAAAAAACAAAAAAGTGATTTCAAGTCCATTCTAGGGAGAGGTGTGACGGCACACTGAATTACATAACCTTGTTTACACCCTGATTCTAGGACAGCCCTGCCCAGCAACACACAGTCGCACAAGCAAATCTCTTTCTGTCTCACACGGACTCACAAATGCTCAACTGTCCAAATCAATCTTTCTTATATATATATATATATATATATATATCTACTGATATATATAGATACATATCAATATACACATCAAAAACCCAGGATCATGCTTATTTTTTAACCAGACAGTCTCTCTGTCAGGCACATACATGTTCCAGATTACAGCAGTGAGCAAACCATCGGCGCCCACACCCTAAAAATACAGTTAGGCAACACCGCCGCACCCAGCGGGTGTGGCAGCAAGTCTGTGCTGATTTTCTAGTGAACCAACTGGACACTTAAGGGCTGGTTATCCTCCACCAGCAGTGTGTCGCAGTGAGCTTGACGCAGATATTTTTGATTCATGCCCAATATTGAAGCGTGGTCTGCGCTGTGTTATTCCACGCCACAACGCAAGAGGGCCAATCAGGAACTAGCTGTGGGTCTAGATACGGCCGAGGCGGTGAGGAAAGGGGGGCAAGTTTGTGCGACAACGGAGGGACATGAGGGCGGGAAAGAGCGGGGGTCCAGGTGGTAAAAGGGTCCCAGCGTTCTCACGCACCTCGCTCTTCTAGCTGCTCCATCTTCACCAGTCGTTTTTCACAATGGCGGTCAGACAAACCAAACAAGCCGCTAAGGAACCAAACAGGAAATATGCATAGAGTAGAGCGGATGTAGAATTGACCAATCAGAGGCCTCCTGTCTGCGATCACCTACAATTTTGGAGAGGTGCAACAGAGTGTCTGCAGAAAGGGCGGGGCATATCTGCGTTCACTGCGACAAAAACGCAGGCGACCTGGTTTCTGAACATAAATCAGCCTTTAGAGCCCGCGCAGCTCGCCAACAGGGGGTCAGAACTCGCTTTTTTTTCGCACGGCTGAGTGTCTGTTGATGCCATCACGCTGAGTTAGTGTTGATGATGTCAGGAAAGTAAACAACGGAGAGCAACATGGAAGCGAGCAGGGTGGCGTAAGTGTGCTTTATTCTTTCGTGCTTTTGTGCTCTCACCAGTGTTGCTCCATGTTTGTCGAATGGAAGCAGATCGGATGCATCTGGCGCGTTCTACAGACACCGGTACGTTGCACTCAATGGTATCACGTAAATCAGTGGATTGACCAATCTCTGATCTTCCCCACTGTACGCTGAAAGGAGCCATATGAAGGCAATTGTCGAGTCGATCGACTCCGTTTATTGAGCCGTTCCCACTAAAGGCCGATTGTTTCCGGGTTTAAACAGGTTTTTGTGGGAAATGGGTATAAAGACAAAGTAACGTGTTTGCGCAACATCTCAGGCTTAAGTTAATTTATGGAGCATGCAGACTGCACCACCAGTCTCTCCGTATACTTCCTGTGTTTTGCAGGCTGGGCGTATCCACTGTGTTCAGCTGTACAGTGAGTTATATAAGGTTATATAAGCATCCAGTCATGGCTTCACTGCAGTAATGTAATTAGTCAGGAGCCTGCAGGCGAGGGTGGTGACCCACACAAAGACCAAATTTCTCATAAACCCTGCTGCACATTACACTCCTGCTGGCCCTGCTGACTTGTATTATGGCTTCTAGAGTCAGCTGACGTCGTATTAATGTTTCAATAGCTTTAGAGGTTTGCAGTGAAACCACACTTTGCACAACAGTTCATCATGGTTCACTGGAGATCTGATAGATGGAAACTGACCTCTCTGGATCAAGGTTTGAAGATCTTGATAAATTACTTTTTAAGGTTTATTTAATAAAAACAAAAAGAAGCTGGAGCTTCTTTTTGCCTTTTTTATGGTTTGTTTTAGGTCATCAGACGAGGGAGAGTTATTCAAGTTTGTCAAAGGAGGAGCTTCAAAAAGGAAATAATGTAAAAAAGCAATAATTAAAAAGGCCAAAAGATCATGCTGAAAATAATAATCCTATTCAGAAAAAGTTGTGAAAAGTTTCTCTTCCATTAGGCGTTGCTACGTAGATGTGGTTTGATCTGCTGATCAGTTTTCTTCTTCATGAGTTACCTGGAAATGTATCCAGTAGGAGGGGAACTCCGGCTGCCCAGAATAAACCTATGCAGGATCAGGGGTCTTCAATGTTTTCCAGGCCAAGGACCCCAAACTGATGGCGAGATGGAGCGGGGACCCCCCCCGCCAAGATGGAGTAATGTAACTAAAGTAATCCCTCCCTGGGATTATTAAAGTATTTCTGCTTCCTGGTTGATGGGACAGGTGTTGTGAATGAAACGGTGCCCAGCTTGATGTGTGTCTCTGAATGTGAGCATTGATGACTGAAAGACATCTTCTGCCTCCATTGATCTGTTTACTACAGTCTGTTGGATTCATGTTCATGTGGATTTAAAGACATTTCAATTAGTGGGAAATATTGCAGCAGCAAATATATATATATATAAAAAAAAAAAAAGTCTAATCGACCAAAACTTTCCCGACCTCCATGCAGTACGTCCGTGAACCCCCTAAGGCGTCACGGACCCCCTGCTAAAGGATCCTGGATTTTTTTTTTTGGTCAACATCCATGTTTCAGACATGGGACTTGCATCTAGAGTACTTTGAGTTCGTGGTTGGCCCGATTATAAGCTCTCCACCACCATGCCTGACAGAATGAGTTGGGGTTAAAGTGTTACATACATGATCAAACATTTCTCCTGCAGTCTGATCTGTCCAAACATGGATGCAATTGGGGTGGGGGACGCAGGGAGGACATGTCCCCTGCAATTTTCAAACGTCCGTTTTGGTCCCCCTGCATGTTCTACTGTCCAAAAAAAATGTTACGCTACAGTACACAGAAAATCGTCGAGCACTAGGACCAAGCAGAAAACTGCAGCTCAAACTGAAGCTTGATTCTTTGATTTTAGCCCGCCCACGAGCTCCTGATTGGCCCACCGTTTGTTCTGGTGTGATTGGCTGTCACTTTACAAACATCTGATTGGCCACTGAATCTGGTCTGTGATTGGACGGCCAAACACGCTGAAGTTAGTTATATTAAAAAATATGGCCGCTCACAGACTCTATGATGACAACAAAATTTTTTTAATTTTTTTACTTATTAACGCGAAATTCAGTAAATCACCGCAAACTTATTAGTTTTAGGTATAAATAATGATCCATTGATTATTCGTTGCTGACCGGACTTTTCCTTTAAAGGTAAATTTATTTCTGCTCTACACTCTTGAATGCATCTTTAAATTCAGGAATATGGTAAATATCCCTCATATCCCAGAGCAGATGATTATTCTCTATTTTCCATCCCGTGTTGCTTTGAACAGATCTAAAATCATCAGGGGGCCGTTTCAGTGTTTACTCACCCTGCGTCGATGCTTTGAGCGCTGAGGGAGGCCGATCCAGACTCTGTGCCGCTCTCCGCATCGCTGTCACTCTGATACTCAACTGGTGATGTTGAACCCGGCTTGATGCGAACTGCAGCAGAGAGGAAAGGGCGAACAAATCAGTGGTTTGAAGGAAAACAAGGAAATGATGGAAGGTGAAAAACAAGGAGGGGTTAGAAGAAGAGAATAGAACAGCAGGGGGTTAATTGGAGAATTACAATGTCAGGATTTAGGCAAGACAAAGGCTGTCTGAGTGAGCGAGCGCGGCGGAGGGTGTGGTCTGCTAAGCTGCAGCATTAGGGGCTCAATTAATGGAAATCCTCAGGAGGGAATTTTCTCTATGCGCCCGTATTACTATATTTATTACACTTTTAGAACTGTATTTCTTTCTAACTTAAAATCTTGTGAACTCCCAGCGGCTAATAAAGAATCAGATGAAAGCTCCATGTCTGTTGGTTTTCCCTGAGCCTTGGCAAACTGCTAAACTCCTCACAGATGCCTGCTTATCATGAAGTCAGGAGGCTGTTTGTTTTTCAGCTGCGATCTCTTGATAGCGCAGAGGCACGGCCCTGACTTGTTGGGTTTGGAGAGAGGAAAACTGTCTGAATCAGATTCCTCCGTGGTGCATTCATGGCCCTGGCTTTTTTTAGACTTCAGAGTTCAAGACTATTTGTAAATAAAAGGATAAAATGCTCCAACTTGTGCAGAATGGACAGAAAAGAGCTGGAGATTTGTGCAGATTGGAGCCAAATCTATGAATTATTTTCATGACATTCTGATGTTTAAGTTAAAAATCATTATGGTTTCTGTATCCTTATTGTTCAGGACAAAACAACACAGCTGAGATGCTAATTTAAGATTAGTGTGAAGATCAGATTTAGCTTTCCAGCCAAACAAACACGAGCCAGGCTTTAATAAATCGAGCTCCAACCCTAAAACTGGATTTTCTTCCTGATAACTATTATTCCACGTTGTTGCACCACTTTTTATCACACTTTTTCCCTCCATGCAACTTTCCATCACTCCATAAAACACTCCTCTTTCCTGAACACGTTTTAGGGCTTATTAAAAAGATGCCTGTCAGAAGCTTTCGTGTGATTATTTATCTTATTTTTGTTTTTAATATAATAATTAAAAAAAAATCTCCATATATTCGTTGGTGAAGTTTCTCAGTCATTCAGGTCATAGTGATTCCAAAATAAGAAAATTAAATACCAACCACTGGACTTTCCAAGTTTGAAGATGTTTCGCTTCCCATGCAAGATGCTTCCCTTCCCTTTATCAATCCCCTTTCAGAGACATAGACAGGTATGGGGCATTGCAGGCTAACAATGAAGCCAATCGACCCCCAATCCAAAGGGGGGG